TGGGGCCGACTGGAGGAGGAGCACTGGAGGACCCCCAGCAGGAGGTCAGGCCACCATCAAGGGGTGGATAGTTGGTGTGAGCCCCAAACTACCTGGCATGTCTCCCAGGCCCCGCCCATTATGAGAAAACTTGCAGTGTGCGCCAGCTTGTCTGGTAGGCAGTGCTTGGCCCTCAAGCGGCCAGTGACCTCAGAGGTAAGGATCTGTCCCCTTTTGTGTGCCTGGAGCCAGGACAGCAGTGATGTGAGGATGCTGGAATGTTCCTGAGTGCCCCTTCAGACTTCACTCCCTGGTGAACCCGGGATGGGAAGCAGGGGGTGGCCTGCAGGTGATGCCCGCACACTACCACACGCACTCAGTCCCCAGGCCATCCTCCTGCCCCAGCCATTCTCCTGCCCCAGCTCTCCTGCAGCCCCAGGGCTTCTGCATTCTCTCCCACAACCTGTCCTGGCCTCTGGGGATGGACAGCTACAGGTCAAATCACCAACACTGGCCAACACCAGCCTGAGGCTGGGCTGAGGAGCACCTGGGCCCACATCTCTGACTGGACCAAGGAGCTCTGGAAACAAAGGGCAGGGCTGCTCTGTGACACATCTTGACTGTACAGTCAGCCTAGCTGTGAGGCTCCTCTGTCACTGAGAAACCTGTGTGAAGGTTGAAGAATCCTTCTCCCCAGAGCCTACCAGCTCCCCTCCCCACAGGCACCACCACTGCCACAGGGAGGGGCCACAGCGAGCCCCCGGTGCCCTAGCAGCCCAGGCTGTGCCCTCCGGGCCTCTGCCAAGACAAAATATCCTCAGAGCTCACTTGTTAGACAAGCATTTACTGAGCAACTACTGTGTGCTCGGTCCTGGGCCAAGCAATGAGGCACCATTGAGTTTGGGGAAGAACACAGGAGAAAGATTACACTATGTGATAAAAGTTTGTTTTGAGGATGCAGAGGGAGTTGGGAGAATGCCCAGGAGGGGCAGTAACACTGAATGGGAGCCCTGGAGCTTCCTGGAGGAGCTCATGAATGGTAAGACCTAAAGGCTGATGGACAGCTGGCCAGGCAGAGGCAGAGGGGGAGGAGAGGGAAGGCGTGTTTCCGGCATGTGCACAGGCCCGGAGTGGGGAGAAAGCACAGCCGTGGAAGAGCTAAATGGCCAGAGTGGTGGAGAGGGAGGAGTGAAGAGAAGATGCAGGAGGGGCGGCAGCAGGAGCTGGTCACATGGTGCCCTGCAAACTGGATGAAGAAGCACAGTTTCTCTTCTACTATCTCGCTGCCTGGAATGTAGATGTAAAGGCTGGCACTATGGCCACCATCTTGGGTCATGAGGATGAAAGCCCCTAGTCGGGGAGGGAAAGGGTGAGTTGGAAGGAGCCTTAAGGACTGGGTAAGGCTGAGGGTGACAGGGAGCCATGGACAGGTTTTATGTAGAACAAGAAGACAGTCACGTCTGTACCTTAGAAAGGAAATGGAATGGGCAGGAGAGCCAGAAGGAAGCAGGGAGCTAAAGTGGGGCCAGGTAGGATGTGGTGCAGCCCGAGTGGAGGCATGTGGAGAGAAGTGGAAGTGGCTGGGATTTCTTTAGATACTGGGTGGACTTGCCGGGACTTTGGAAGTGATGCTGGGCTGAGCCGGCACCCTACTCACCTGCACACTGAGTTGCCCAATCTCCAGCTCCAGCTGCTGCACCTTGGCCTCCCGCTCAGCCACCATGGCCTGCAGCTGGGCCACCAGGCTGCTGCTCCGCTGAGCCTCGTTGTTGAGCTGCTGGTCCAGGTGGTGCTGGGACACGCGTGTCTTCTCCTCCTGCAGGCTCAGGCTGCCCAGAATCTCCTGTAGCTGTTTCAGCTGGTCCTGCAGGGCCAAGTGGGAGGGTGGGTGTGTGTCGGCCATGGCTCTGGGTAAAGAGGGACAAGAGAAGACTGCCTCCCCTCACCCCCAGCAACCCACCCTTTCCCTGCTCCTGCAGGAACCTAACAGTGGGATGCCAGTGTTGCCTTGGAAGCAGGAGGAACACCTTGCCTGTCCTTAGGGGTATTCAACCAGGTTTTCCTGTCCTCAACATATGTCCCTAGGGATTATCTTGGTGACTAAACATTATAAACTGCTCCCTGAGTGCCC